TAAAAATGAAATTAGTAATTAAGCAGTATTATCGGTGAGTTTTGTGGTAGATGTTTTTTTAATTAGAGTATTGAATTTTATGATAGAAAATATTAACTTAAATTATTGCGTTTGATTTATTTTAAATCAATTAATCATTTACGATAATGTAACAAAAATAATGGAAATAATTTAAATTTTAAAAGGTATTGTAGTTAGATAAATTTCGATTACCATTTGCCTGTATTTTTTTTTGAAAAGTTTGCTAAATTTCACACGATTGTTTAGTCGGAATTTTTCAAAACTTTATTTGAAAAAATGATTTAAACATTCCATATAGATTACATTATTTTCAGATTGTAAGAAGGTATGAAAAAGTTAACAAAATTTTACATGGTTGTGTAATAGGGATTTTTAAAAAATGACATTTATTAAACCTAATAAAACATGAGTAGTTAAATAGTACTATCACTAAATTTTATGATTTCAAAATTCAAAATAAATTATTAAAAAATTATTCCATTATGAATTACGATTTAAAATTAAAACAATAATTATCTATAATATTTTTCCGTAATTAATTATATAGGCTACCAAATAGCAATAAACTAATGATCATATACATTAAACAATTAGTATGCACATCTCATAAATAAATATTAATCATATTAGATAAATAATGATAATAAGCATATGAAAATATATTATGTAATAATAAGTTTGTGACTTAGAAATATTTACTTGGTTTCAAATTTTTTGTTACAGGTTGTCATATAAATGCAAAAAAAGTAATTTAAATTAATAATTTATTTAAAAAATAAAATCCAGTAGGTTTAGTATAATATTTTAAAAATCATATGCAAATTATCGATATTCACTTAGATTTTATTATTATTATTATTATTCTTTTTGTTGTTGTTGTTGTTTTTTTTTTTTTTTNNNNTTTTTTTTTACACGAAACGATAAAGATATTATAACTCAAAACGAACCAAGTTCGAATATACAAACAACATCGAAACAAGAAAAATGAAAGGACACGAATTAAGCGGCCTAAAACCTCAACCAAACTACTACTAGAAACACAAAGCAAGAAAACTCCACAGCCCAAGGGCCTAGAGAAGAAACCGACTAGGGAAGCTAAAGACAGAACCAGAAAACCAAACTAAGAGGAAACAGAAAAAGGAACAACAAAAGAACAAACCAAAGAGCAAGATAAACTACAAATCAGCAAAAGCCATCCAGTCTTGGTGAGCAATCTTCAATTTGACTGGGATAGGCAAGAGAATATCTTGGAAAATGCAGAGATTGCATGACTTCCAGAGCCATCAGAGGATGTAAGTTGTCAGTTGAATTCGAGCCTCTGATGTCTCTGATGCATCAATGGAACAGATTTCATGCAACCAGCCTCTGAAAGATAGGTTCTGATCAGGGAGTCGGCTCCAAGACACTTGTGATAGCTTCCACATAAGAACAACTCTTTTACAAGAAAACAGAACATGAGTGATTGATTCTGGCTCCTCACCACAAGTGTTGCATATAGCATCCACCTTCAGGCCTCTCTTTAAGAGATTAACTTTAACTGGGAGTGCTTCAGAAATACACTTCCAGATAAAAAGTTTAACTTTACTAACCACCTTGAGTTTCCAAAGCCTCTGCTTGATTTTCGTAAGTGATGGGCCAGCAATTGAGCTACAACCAGGTAAATCCATTGCAAGCAGTTTATGCTAGGACAAGTAAGAATAAGTGCTAGCCACTGAAAAATTACCTTTCTTGTTGAACAACCAGTACCTTCTGTCTTCCTTGTCTGCCTTGAGACTATTGATAGAAAGAATGGATTCATTGTCCTGTGAATTGAACATTTGCTTGACCAACCATTCATTCCATCCAATCCCTGAGTCATTGAGAATATCCTTCACCCAGATTAAGTGGCCTCTAGCCAGGCCCATAAGCTCAGGTTTAGGCTGCATTAAGTTGGGCACACAGTTGACATCCTCCAATCTAGTGGTTGCTCCAATCGTGATTTCAACTACAAACCCTTTAGCAAATGTAGGTAACACCTCAAGCCAGTTAGACCAAAGCCAAGAGCAGCTCTGAATTTTGACAGCCTAAAAAAATGGAGCAGTTGGGAAAATATTTTTCCTTCAAGACCCTGCTGACAAGTAAGTTAGGTTGAGTGTAAATCCTCCAGAGTTGCTTACAGATCAAAGTTGTGTTAAAAAGATGAAGATCCATAAAGGCAAGCCTTCCTTTCTCTTTAGGCAGAAAGAGAAAGTTCCAAGCTTTCCATTGTATGCCTTGGGTTTGATCTTCACCTTGATGATTTGTATTAGCTTTTATTTCAATATATATTTGTATGTATAGGTGATTGATAGCCATGAGTTTTGGAATTGGAGGATCATTTTCTGTTCAAAATCTTTTCAAGTTATCTGATATATATTAATGTTAGGACTAAAATATATTTCATATATTATCTCTACCAATAATATTGTGAACAAAATTAAAGAAATACTTCTTTGATTTTTCCTACAACTATGGTAACAAATCTATATGGTCGATATTATGACAATGTTTTTAGCAATTAAAGTTTACGCAATATCTTTCTCAAATAATAAATTTTTTGAACTTGAATTCGAATTTTCATCCGGCCGTCATTTTTTATAAATAAAAAGTACCAAGAATAGTAGCTAACAAATATATAATTGGGCTTTTACATTTAATCTTGTATTTAGGACATTTGTGTATTGGGCCTTTAATTGTATGGCATTATCATTAGCCCAATAGGTTTTCTACTCATAGTATAAAAGGGAACCACTTAGGGTTTCCCAAACACAATTTGTAATTTCTCAATCTCTGAATATCAGAAGCTCTCTCTATTTTTTGCACAGTTCATCTTCTGTTCAATGAATCATATTATGGTATCAATCGCCGAGTTTCAATCGATCCTCGTTTCTACTTTTCCGCTGCATCATATTTTTTAGATTTTTTGTTCGAAATCTCGATCGGTTTTTGGA